TAAACCCTTTCATCAATATTATGCACACAATAGCAAGCAGAGCAACAATTTAATACAGACAGACAAATAAAATAATGCGTAAATCAAACAGATTCACTTGTCAAAAACTTATGAGACTTGCAAATGATCCGCTTGTCTTTGCTGTGCCGGCGAGTGCTTATATAGCCCGCAAAGTTTACAGTCCGCCTGATCCCTTTGCTTTACTTGCCTCTGAAAGTCGCCTTTAGCGACACTCGCGCCTCGGCGTTGTCTTCTTTCATGGCGATGGTTTCTCTCATGAGTCCGATATATCGTTCCTTCAATTCTTCAATCCAGCGCCTGAGAGTCTCCTTTTCATCCGGCACGGTGCAGAGTGACTTCTGATGGCCTGAGTCGCGAGGCATGAGTCTGGCCGCTATAGTGCCCTTGAGCTTCTCACAGTAAAAGTAAGGCCGCCCACTGGCATCTTCCTGGTGGGTACGACTCATGGCAGCGAGGGCATAACTTCGCTTCGTACTCTCTCGTAACGCTCGTTGCCGTTTCTGCTGTGTGGACATGAATAAGAGTAATGTTGATCAAGGGTTTTGCAGAACGCACAAAGTAGAAATACGTGGGTTCCGCGCGGTACTTCTCCGTACACCCGGTGGGGAAAAACATTTAAATCTCGCCCCAGCTGTGCAATGTCTTCTAAAAGAGTTTTGCATTCTTCTTGCTTCCTTTTGATTTCTTTATTTTTCTCGTATTCCTTACTTGGTGGGCTCTCATCATGTTCGGCTTCATGGATAAGGTGTCCCAGATACCGCTCGTCATCCATCTGTTCATCATCGTTCATCTGTTCATCATCGCTGTCCTGATCAAGCAACATCAGCGAATCGTCCTTTTCTCCGCATATATCCAACCTCTCGTTGTCTTCCTCTGCCAACGGAGCCTGTTCGACGTCAATTACTTCAGCTACTTCCGTCTGGGACTGAGCGTTGGATAACTCGGGGCCAACTTGGCATCCAAATTCTGCATTGTAGGGAGCGGGCTGTTGCACCGTAGTCAAAATGGCCATTGTGGCTCTCAAGCTGAAGATTTCCCGGTCTCGTTCGGCTAACTTGTCGTTGAGGATTCTGATGATCTGCTTATCCGCCTCGTCCTTTCTATTCGCTGCAGAGCGAAGGTTACCCTCCGCAACGTGATGCCGCTTTTCAATCCGTCTGATGACTTTGTCGATTTCTTTTATGTGTGCACTCATCTCTCTTAATGCAGGTTCGTCGATGTTGTAACCACTTTCTTCTTGCTCATCTAGGTAACTGAAAGCGTAACACTTGTTGGAGAGCGAACAATGTGCGCATAATGCCAGGTAACGCTCCTTGCTCACTTTGGCTGCAAAGTGCATTCTTCCAGTGATTATCAGTTGTTCCCTCTGTTCTCCTTCAATTACTTGTACATGCTTGAGGTGCTCGTAATCTTCTTCGATCGAAACTGCTGTGACTATCTGTTGTGTGATTGCCTCTTTCGTTAATTTGACGTGTTCTTTTAGTTCGGTCTTCGAGCGGCCTTCCGTGATGATAGCTATGCATCTGACATCTTCATCCAGTTCTTCGAGGGACATGCTAAAAATAGATCGTTTATATGTACTATGCGCGGTACAGGTAGGGTTCAACTTGTTGCGCTACACTTGCTTCTGACAAGTGTTTTTGCTTCCTTGAAGGAAGTACTACCACAGTTTCTCTTACTTCACCATCTTTACCTGTTACCAACTTGCTTATACGGCCCATCCTCCAAGATTGTCTGATTTGAATAGGATCTATGGT